ATAGAATGCGTATAAAAATACAAGCATATACATGAATATATAATAAAGAACAACTTCAAATAATAAGAAAAGATTGGCTTATGTCATAGCTGGTATAAGGGGATAATGGAAAAATCTATGAGAAAATGTTATATTAGCTTTTTGCCTCAGATATAAGCTCCAGTTGTATTAAGTAATTATAAGTACAAACATTCAAGGGGCCAATGTCTTAAAATACATGTAAATATTTACTTACTCAGAATACAAAAAATTGTCTGTATATGCAACTGAAGGTTGATGAAACTGTTAAAGAAAATGATAAAATTCTGAACATTTTGAATGTAAAAGTATGACACTTCTTGAAACATATCAAATTTAACACGAAAGATCTTTGTAGTTCACTGTATGTTAAATTTTCAACTATTTTAAAGTAAAACAAAACAAAATAAACCCTATTTGATTTAAAAGGGCATATGAAGGGTAAAAGGGAGCATTTTTGACCGAGGAGAGCTCTCTAACACTCTTCAGCACTGGGCAACTTAGCCCTCTCTAGAACTTTTCCAATCATAGTGAGTAGAAAGCCCTCATTCTGCCTATAGAAAAAGCTGGCATCGAAACAAAAAGTTATTGTGTAAGAAGCAGCTCAGAAGTTGCATGATGTGATTCTTCTCGGGGAAAAAACCCTATGAGGTTGCGCTTGTGTTTATTTTTCAAAAATTAGATCATTTTCATATGGCTAGAGGTCCTTTGGTCTTAGTCCAATCCGTGGATATCTTTCTGCAAAAACAACAACAAACTATCAACAGTATTACAGTATTGAAAGGCAAACGGTGAACTTGGGAAAATAATTCATGACATACATAACAGAATAATGGTTAAAATCCTACATATATAAAGAGCTCTCACAAATCAAGAAGAATGATAAATGTGTAAATAGAATATCTTTTATATGTTAAGAAAAAATGCTGCCAATTGACATGTGTGAACAGGCTGATTATAAAAGAATAACCAAATATGAGAAAAACAGCTTCACTGACTAGTAATCAAATCATTGGCAATTAAATCAAAAAAATATGGGTTACACTATTTTACCCAGCAGCTTGGCAACATGCAACATTGGTGAGAAAGTGAAAAACAAGGGTACTTTTGTATACTATTAAGATTGTAAATTCGTGCGCTCCTCTTGGAAGGCAATAGGACACTGAATTTCACTTCTGTATTTTATTTAACTCAAGATTTTATGAAAAATTCAAACATACAGAAAATTAGAGAAAAGACGATAACGATTTTACCTATTGCACAGACTTAACATTTTGATATCTTCACCTTTTTGAAGGAGAAAATAAAAACCTTGCTTTTCCCAATGCCTTTAAAGAAGTAACCACTGTTCTAAAGTTAATGTGTATTATTTTCATGTGTTTTATATGCACATACTACAGATCCATAAATTGTACCTATTATATTTCATCAACTCTAAGATTCCATTATTTTACGTACCATTCTTTTATATGTTAAGAAAAAATGCTTCCAATTAAACTATGAAATGTTTTATTAACATTTAAGATTATTTTCTAATACTATAACAGGTTTTTAGGACAGATCCTTTTTTAATCTTACACAATGCTGTTGTTTCTTTGTTATATGCCAAATCATAATACAATTTTTAAGACTTTGATTTTTTGAGACAGGGTCTTGCCCTGTCACCCAAGCTGGAGTGCAGTGGCATGATCTTGGCTCACAGAAACCTCTGCCTCCCGGATTCAAGCAATTCTCCTGCCTTAACCTTCCAAGTAGCTGGGATTATGGGTGGACACCACCACACCTGGCTAATTTTTGTATTTTTAGTAGAGACAAGGTTTCGCCACATTGGCCAGGCTGGTCTCGAACTCCTGAACTCGTGATCTGTCTGCCTTGGGCTCCCAAATTGCTGGGATTACAGGTGTGAGCCACTGTGCTGGGCCTTGAAGACATTTTAAACAGTACTTAAATATAACACATGTAGTCCCAATACAGTACAAAACCTAATTGTGAACTGAGATATAACCAAGCTGGTGCAACCATGCCATGATGACTGCCTTAGTCAGTGATAATTGTTAAGATGCCATTGATTTAAGATGCTTCCCATTTTCAAAGATATTAAAATATGAAGTGTGTTGGAATTAATTTTGGAGACAAATTTACATACAAGACTTCCCTTATTACTTGCTTTGTTTCTCTCAGCATCATGTTTTCAAAGTATTAAAAGACAGCTCACTGTGTAAGGAAGCCAACAGCAAGCAACTGGCTGCTGCTGGAGCTCGGGACGCTCTTAGCTCAGCGCTCCCTCCATTTGCCTGAGCCACCCCAGGAAACGCTGTTCCATGCTGAAGGGTACTAGTAGGCTAAGGAGTTATTCTTTCTTGGTAACATCTGCCTTAAATCAGGAAAATGGTCTTTTCAAAGGCCCAGGAATTCACATATCATCTGAGACTAGGGTGAAGCACTTGCTTTGGGACAAAATTTAAGAGACAGCAAGTAATCCAGGTAAATATTTTATTTGTAAAAATGTTAGATATTTTAATGCAACATTAAAAAAAATCAAAACTAATGCAAAATGAATCTAATATAAAAATTTTAAGTAAGAGAGAATCTACTCTCTTCTAAAAAAAATTAAAAAGGGGAAAAAAGAAACTACGGAGTTTTCCATTTGCCTTAGGCTCCCAAATGGATTGGCATGGTACCATTACTAATCCTGTTTCACAGGGGGAGGAAAGGGGTGATAGATTAAAATGAGTGAGCAACGTGGTCCCATAGTACAATTAAAAATGTGAATGTACAACAAAAACACACCAAATAATTAGAGTGAACAATTTTCAGTATTACATCCCCAAATGGAGGCAAGCTGCTAATATTAGAATGGGGATCATTAATTGTATTTCATTAGAAGGAACTAGATTTAGGCCAGGTGCAGTGGCTCATGTCTGTACCTCCAGTACTTTGGGAGGCCAAGACAGGAGGATTGCTTGAGGACAGGAGTTCGAGGCTGCAGTGAGCTATGATTGTGTCACTGCACTCCAGGGTGGGCAGCAGAGTGAGACATTGTCTTGAAAATAAAAAAATCAAAGGAACTAAATTTAAATATGGTGAAAACAATGTATACCTGCCAGATGTCAGCACTTACGAGGCTATGGTAATCAAAATGATATAATATTTCCATAGGGTTAGACAAATAAACAACAAAAGAAACTAGAAATGGACTGCACATATTTGGGGAATGGGAATCTAACAGGTGGCATGGTGTTGGCACAAGTCGCTAGCTAGATTAAAAAAAAGATTCCTTAGTTCACACACTATTTAACAGGAATTTCAAGAATGATTAAAAGCCTAAACATATGTGCTTGGGAGGTGGAAGACTTCTAAAAGTCTAATAGAAGGTAACATCAGAGAGCCTTTTGTAGTTCAGAAGCATGGTGACTGGGTTTTCACACTTATGTGTGAGATGTACCTCCCCTCCGCCTTGTAACTACATTATCCACCAGACATGAAAATAAAAATGTATAAATCAAAAAAGTTAGAGACTATACGAACTTGGGATGAGGATGATTTCCAAACAAGAAAAACATATAGCAAAAACCATAGAGAAAAAAAATGACAAATAGCAAAAGGCTACATAAACAAAGCAAAAATAAAAGCAGTCTGAGAGGTTTTGCAGCACACGTTAACAAAGGGTGAGTATCTAGACTATATAGAAAAAGAAAAATAAATTAGAAAAAGACATACCCAATGGAAAAATGGGCAAATGGTGTGTGCATTCAACTCAGAAAAGAGGAAACTCAAAAGGCCAATACATATAGGAAAAGATGTTCTCCTCACATGTAATCAGAAATGCAAATTATATAATCATATTTCATGCTTATACAACTGGATTTTTTTTTTTTTTGTATTAGAGACAGGGTCTCATTCTGTCACCCAGGCTGGCATGAAATGGCACATTTGTAGCTCACTGTAGACTTGAACTCCTGGGCTTAATGGATCCTTCTGCTTCAGCCTCCCAAGTAGTTGGACTACAGATGCACACCACCATGCCCAGCCAATTTTCTGTTTTCCTTCTCTCCCTCTCCTTCTTTCCTTCTCCCTTTTCATCCCCTCCTCTCCTCTCCTTTTTCAGTTAGCATTTTTAGTGAAATAATTTTAGTTTACATTAAGGTTTTTGATCGCACATGTAAAAGGTAGTATTACAATCATTTAAAATGTTTTAATTAACTCCTGGAGTATAGGATATTTAGGAGCCTACAGAATTTTTGTGGAGACTTCAAATTTTAAAATTACTTACAGTCAGAAGTAAACTAGAACTCTTAAGCATGTTTATGTAGTTCAAGCTCCCCCTAAAGTGTTGTTTTTTTTTTTTAATTTTTTTTTGAGATGGAGTATCACTTTGTCACCCAGGCTGGAGTGCAATGGCACAATCTTGGCTCACTGCAACCTCTGCCTCCCGGGTTCAAGCAATTTTCCTGTCTCAGCCTCATGAGTAGCTGGGATAATAGGCGCCCGCCACCATGCCCAGCTAATTTTTCTATTTTTAGTAGAGACGGAGTTTCGCCATGTAGGTCAGGCCTGTCTGGAACTCCGGACCTCAGGTGATCCACCCACCTTGGCCTCCCAAAGTGCTAGGATTACAGGCATGAGGCACTGTGGCGGGCTGAACCCAGTAACTTTCAAGCGTAGACTTCAGTAGAACCAAAATACTGTATCAATTATAAGCAGTTTTAAGTACAATTTCAATAGCAAATATTATTTAAAATAAGCTTCATACTATATCATTAGTTATAAGAAAAATCTGATGAAAATAAACCCCGTGGTCCTCTATATCATGTTACTGTGGTATTTTGTCAAAATAAATTGCATTTTGGGCCAGGCATGGTGGCTCATGCTTATAATCCAGCACTTTGGGAGGCTGAGGCAGGCAGATCACCTGAGGTCAGGAGTTCAGGACCAGCCTGACCAACAGAGCAAAACCCCACTTCTACTAAAAATACAAAAACTAGCAGAGTGTGGTGGCGCATGCCTGTAATCCCAGCTACTCAGGAGGTTGAGGCAGGAGAATTGCTTGAACCCAGGAGGTGGTGGTTGCAGTGAGCCAACATTATGCCACTGCACTCCAGCCTGGACAACAAGAGTGAAATTCCATGTCAATAAATAAATAAATAACATTTCATATCTTTAAGACTTAGGAATGAAGCAAAACCACCCCTCCATAATCAGTGCCCAAAAAAGTAAGTGTAAATGACTCAGGAGAGGGAAAGAAGGTATCAGACCCACTATTAGAGTAACTCCTGGATGGTACTGGTCCTCTTCATTTCAAATGCAAAACTATTTTCATGGGCGAGCATGGTGGCTCATGCCTGTAATCCAAGCACTTTGGAGGCCAAGGCAGGTGAATAACCTGAGGTCAGGAGTTCAAGACCAGCCTGACCAACATGGTGAAACCCCCGTCTTTAAAAAAAACAAAAAACTATTTTCATTATAGGTGAATGTTACATGGAAAGAATACATTTGTTGTACAGGTTTAATCATTTAAAAAAACTCACTGTTGCCAATATTACAGACTAGGTTTATTAGTTAAGAAAAATAAGTAAAGCCAAATCCTTCGTTCTACCCTTACATAAAAGGTATGGCTCTTTTATGTCCCATGGGAGTTGTGGATATACTTAACGAGATAGCAGAAATATTAACTTCCTAACACTAAGATTAAGTGCCCCTCACTCCTAAATTAGAACAGCATGTCGACCAGTTACATCTGAGCATGAAACAGTGTACTAGCTAGAAGAAGTGTTTGCAGGTAAAATAAAACTGAAACAGAAAGTAAGGGGGAGAAAAGACAATAGCCAGAAAAGCCAGCAGGAAGTGAGAAATGGCGGTGATGCTACCTGAAAAGCAATGTATTCTCTATTAGTAGCTGCACTTACTTCTAGACCATAATGTTAACATATACAAATTATCAAAACAATGGGCAAAACAAACACTTGCTTAGCATTTTCTTTAGGGTTTCAAAATAACTCCCAAAGTTGAATAGAAGTAACTTAAAAGCAATTTAGCATAAAAACAACAGTGCAAATTAATGACCATTATGAACTTATTTGTAAAAGCAAGTAACTTCATTTCAGCGCATTTTCTAGCACAGATTTTTTTCAAAAGTAACTTCAGAATTGCTTTGAAATTAAATCATCGCTTGAATTCGTCTTAACAATTACTGTTAGCATTTGACGATTTTACATATACAATGGATTTTCTGCACAACTAGGAATTGTCTAATATGTGAAAAACATCACAATATGCTATTTTTCACTAAATACTATTTAGTTTCTCAAAACAAAATGCGTTCCAAAAGAAATCTTATTACATGCTTTTCCTTAATACTTAAACCAGATGAACTTCAAGATACAAATGAAGGCAATTTGGAAGAGGAAATGTCAGTGTGAGGTGTCATTTAAAAAATATAACCTTAAATTCAAGACAAGGGAGAACGATATTTGGCCAGCAAAAGATATTTGATGGACATGTTCAGGTTAATTTCAAGTACTAAAGTTGGATGAAGACTCAGGCACCATATATTGCTCTGGTTTGTGCATTTTCCAAGGTTTCAGAAAAATATCAGGCAGTTTAAAAAGGAAACTAGTGAGGCTCTAATTCCTGGCTCAAATATAAGGATAATGTGATTATAGAAACATTTTCCCCCAACTAATATTATTTATCCTGTTATTAAAAACCATTTTAAAGCCTGGATAGAAAGAAGATCACAAGTGGCAAGGCAGCGCCATTATTTTCATATAGCAAAACCAGTTCACTATAATTTTTCTTTTTTAAGACAGAGTCTCACTCTGTCGCCCAGGCTGGAGTGCAGTGGTGCGATCTTGGCTCACTGCAACTTAGGCCTTCCAGTTTTGAGTGATTACCCTGCCTCAAACTCCCGAGTAGCTGGGACTACAGGCATGCACCATCACACCTAAGTTTTATATATACACATATTTTTGGTAGAGACAGGGTTTCACCATTTTGGCCATGCTGGTCTCAAACTGTTGACTTCCAGTGATCCACCTGCCTTGGCCTCCCAAAGTGCTGGGATTACAGGTGTGAGCCACTGCGCCCAGCATTCATTATAATTTTTTTCAATGGCAATGCAACTCCCAATGGATTTCTACTTTTAGCATTAAGAAATTATGACTTGCTGGTAATTTCTACTCAGGTTAATAAACTAATGGTGAAGAAGCTTGGAAACATTTGTTGCTTAGATTGTTTATTCCTTCACAATGTTACTTTCAAATTTAAAATAATTTTTTAAAATATAAAACAGAAAGACATATTTAAAATTTCAGATGGAGTCTTGTTCTGTTGCCCAGGCTGGAGTGCAGTGGCTGGATCATAGCTCATTGCAGCCTTGAATTTTTGAACTGAAGCAATCCTCCTGCCTTAGCCTCCCAAGTTGCTGGGACTATAGGCATGTGAAACCATGCCAGGGTACTTAACATTTGTGTGTAGAGACCAGGTCTTGCTATGTTGCCCAGGCAGGTCTTGGACTCCTGGCCTCAAGCAATCCTCCTGCCTCAGCCTCCAGGATTATAGGCACAAGCTACCACACTCAGCTAAGCTGGAGTGCAATGGCACCATCACGGCTCACTGCAAACTCTGCCTGCTGGGTTCAAGCAATTCTTCCACTTCAGCCTCCCAAGTAGCTGGTTACAGGCATGTGACACCATACCCAGCTAATTTTTATATTTTTAGTAGAGACAAGGTTTCACCATGTTGGCCAGGCTGGTCTCAAACTCCTAACCACACATCATCCACCCACCTGGGCCTCCCAAAATGCTGGGATTACAGGTGAGCCACTGGATTCGGCCACAAAGAATCTCAATCTCACAATGATTCAGACACTTCATTGGGCAAGAAATATCTACATTGACAGAAATTATAAGTGCAGTAGAAAAACAAATTTATTTTTTACACCTTCAAGGAAGCTTTCCTCATCCCTGTTGAATGTTCAGAAAATTGAAAAAAAAAAATCAACTTTGGCATAAAACTGTTATCTACTTGATCCACTTTACTGTCATTTTAATAAAGTCAAAGCCTTGACTTTAACTGGTCAATCTGATGTGACATCTGTGACAGTAAAATGATTTTATGTAAAACAGGAATTTAAAATTTAAAGAGACCTTTTCAAAGAAATACCACACATCTACAGACCAACTAACTGCAGATACCTTAAGGTTAAAAATGTCTGAATATACATGCCACACAAAAATTAAACTCTATTGCTTAGTTTAACCTTAAGTCATAAGTTTCCCAAATTGAAACATATCATAGACATTTTCTAGGGGGAAAAATATAACATTAAAGATTTCATATTGTTTATCTTGCTTTCAAAGTTCTAGTGTTATAGAGACCATCCCACACCCCTGACCAATAAATTTTCTATCAGATCCATAGGTCTTCAAATTCATTTACTATTAAAATGTGATATCTGAAATAAAGGAACACACTACGAAGATGTCCAAAGGGCTGGGGCACCAGTTTTCAAAGTCTGGGAGTTCTGAACGACCTTTTTTCTTTTTTCAAGACAGAGTCTCATTTCTTCACCCAAGCTGGAATGCAGTGGCATGATCTTGGCTTACTGCAGCCTCTGCCTCCCAAGTTCAAGGGATTCTCCTGCTCCAGCCTCCCGAGTAGCTGAGACTACAGGCACACGGCACCATGCCTGGCTAATTTTTGCATTTTTAGTAGAGATGGGGTTTCACCATGTTGGCCAGGCTGGTCTCAAGCTTCTGACCTCAGGTGATCCACTGGCCTCAGCCTCCCAAAGCAAGGAGCTCCACGAGGTCAAAACTATTTTCACAATACTACAAGTCATTTTCAACATATAGACATTTGCACTGATTGTGCCAAAGAAACAGCAGGTAAAGCTGCAGGAACCTTAGCACAAATCATGACAGTTAGCACCAAATTTGTTCATCATTGCTACACTCCCACTTAGGGTGGGGAGAAGTGGGGGAGGGGGAAAGTGCTCCCTGAAAAGCCAGTTTCAGTTAACAACATCCTTCTTTTTTTTTTAAGACGGAGTTTCGCTCTTGTTGCCCAGGCTGGAGTGCACAATGGCACAATCTCCACCTCCCACCTCCCAGGTTCAAGCAGTTCTCCTACCTCAGCCTCCCAAGCAGCTGTGATTACAGGCATGTGTCACCGCACCTGATTTTTTTTTTTTTTTTTTAGTAGAGATGGGGTGTCTCCATGTTGGTCAAGGTGGTCTGAACTCCCGACCTCTGGCAATCCACTGGCCTCAGCCTCCCAAAGTGCTGGGATTACAGGGGTGAGCCACCACACCTGGCAACAACATCCTTAATGAAGCAGTGCAAAATTAATCTTATTAAACCTATACCTTTGGGTACACACCATTTTAATATCATATAGAAAGAAACGGGAAGTTCTAGTTCTATAGCATATTAAAGTGTGACCATTGTCTCATATGCTATTATTTTATTTGTGCAATGAACTAGCCACTTCATGGGACACGACTTTTGAAAGAATGACTGACAATGGTTATTCGGCAGACATTTTCTCTAATATAAATGAATTGGGCCTGTCACTTAAGAAAAACAACTAACAATATTTGTTGCCCATAATAAAATTTCACCTTTTATAATAAAATCAGAATTTTGAAAAATCTGTATCCATCACTGTGAGCTTGACAGCTTCCCAATACTTAAAATATTTTTTCAACAAGATCACTTATATTAACAAAAAAAATTTTTTTTGAGACAGTTTCACTCTTGTTGCCCAGGCTGCAGTGCAATGGTGCGATCTCTACTAACTGCAACCTCTGCCTCCCAGGGTTCAAGCGATACTCCTGTCTCAGCCTCCCAGTAGCTGGGATTACAAGCATGTGCCACCACACTCAGCTAATTTTTGTATTTTTACTAGAGATGGGCTTCTCCATGTTGGTCAGGCTGGTCTTGAACTCCCGACGTCAGGTGGTCAGCCCGCCTCAGCCTCGCAAAGTGCTGGGATTACAGGCGTGAGCCACCACGCCTGGCCTTAAC